GGACACTGGGGTTGTGGGTGGGGGACGACCAGGGCTCGCAGAACCTGCTAGCTACCGGGGAGGGCAGGGGGCGGGAGGCGCGGGTGTCCTCGTGGGATCCCGGGGCCTCGGCGCTGTACTAAGGAGCCGGCCAGGCGGGGCGCCCAGACGGGTGGCCTGAGCCCTGCCCGCCCCCGGGCCGCGCCTGGGGCGCGCTGAGCCGCCGGCCAGCCAGGTGGCGGTACTCACTTAGTAAGGCGGGGTTGCTGAATCTCCAAGCCTCGTTGTAGGCCGTGTACTGGGGATGGCTGTACGGGTTGCCGGAGAACTCACTCCCTGCGGGGAGGGGAGGAATCAGCCTCGCGGGCCACGAGCCGGCTGGAGGCCTGGTGCCGCGGGCAGCGCCAAGCCCGCCGCCGGCGTTCTGGCCAGGCGGACGCTGGGAAGGCAGCGGGTCCGCGTCAGGGGAGGCCCCTGGCAAAGGCCAGAAGCACCCCGGCGTGAAGAGGAGAGGCCTGCAGGGGGGTGGGGTGGGAGACCCCGCTGGGGACTCCCATTGGGAGGCGCCCAGGGCCACCCAGAGAGGATTTGGTGCGGGCGGGGGCACAACCACCTGCTGCGTTGGGGGGGCTAGGGCCTGTTTCGTGGAGAGTCTGCCCCACCGGCAGGGACGCGGGAGGGTGACGCGCAAAAGCCCTCTGGATACTTTGCCCCAGAAAGTCCTAAAAATGGCATCTGGCACGGTGCTGATGCAAGGGATGGGGGCTCAACTAGGAAATACCTCTTCCCGCCTAGCCCTCGAGAGGCCTGATCCGTGGGCCACGCAGCAGAAGAGGGAGGGGGTAGCCAAGGAGGTGGACTGCCCGCCAGACAAGCGGTGAGCCAGGGGTCCCCGTGGGCTGGGAGCCATTGGAAGCCGCCCCTCTCCGCGAGAGAAAGGCCAGGCCTCCGGGTTCCCCCTCGCCCTTTCTCCTGTGTGCTGACCCCAGACTGTTTACAGTGATCCCTAACCGCGGGTTAAGTAGAGGAGAAGGGGCCCCTCTCTGAGAGGGAGCTGGGGTGGGGGTGGGGGACGCAGCCACTGGAAAGCCTGTTTATTGACGAGGAGGGAAAGCATGCGTGTAGCAGGATAATGAGCTTCTGAGCTCAACTGTGACCAAGAGGAACTGAGCTATCTCCTTCCCCATCGCTAATGAAACAAGTGTAATTTCCTCATCAGCACTAGATTCTGTTTAACGACTCCCCCCTTGCCACCACGAGCTCTCAGCGGCTCCCCTCTTCTCCACCTCCCTGCAGACTCCCCACCCCACCTCCCCCAGGCTCCCCTCATCCCCACCTGCCAAGACCTCCAGCCTCCACCTCACACCACATTCACCTGAAGCATCTCCAGTACCTGCCCCCACCTATCCACCAGTCCTCCCCTTCCAGCCAATCTGGGCTGGGGCCCCCTCACCCCCACTTCCCTGCACTCCTTACTCGGTTCCTAGAATTCCCTCCAGCCCCATCCTACAATAGCCTGCAGCCATTGTCCTCTTTGCCATCCCAACCCCCTCAAGCTCAGCCTGCCCTGGATTGTCCCTGGGTGAATAGATGGGTGTGCCAGGGATAAGCCCAAAGCCCTCTTCTGTGCTCCCCACCCCCATCCCTGAACGCTGGGCTTCAGGGATGGGTACAGAGTGAGTAGGCCCCATCAGCTTTACCGCTCTAAGGCAAGAGTTCGTTGAGGTTGCTAAGAACAGAAGCTTCAACTCTCTTTAGCATCAAGGTTGGCCTCCAACCTTGGCAGAGAAGGGGTGGGGGGTGGGGGAGGGAGACTTGCACAATCTCTAGCTGCAGTCACCAGACTCTAAATACAGCCTGTGCCTCTGATCCACATAACCCAAGTCCAAGTTTCTCAAAGGAGGACTGGGCCAGTGCCCTGGAGAAGCAATGGGGGTCTGGTAAGGACACGGAGAGTGCTCTACTGGTCTCCCTGAAGCCAGCGCTGGCTGGTCCCTGTCAAAGCTTGTCCTCTCTTCCCTTTCCTCCTCTCTGGGTGGGGTCAGTTTTCTACACTGGTCTTTCTCTGTGGGTTGGTGGGCCCAGGGTAGCACTAGCTGAGCGACTGACAGGCCCCTGGAGATAGTTGTTGGCTCCAAGTTTCCATGGAAACCAGGGCAGGCTCTTCAACCAGCAGTGTCAGCTGGTTGGGATGAGTTGGGCACTGGGTGAAGATGAGGGCTCCCTGGGCACAGGCTTGGAAGGGTGGGCACTGGGGAGGGACCATGCCGTGCAGTGGGGTGCACACGGGGTGCAGGTCTGCAGGCTCCCTCCCTGAGGGAGGAGCCAACTGCAGCCTCTATGAAGAGAGAGACAGAATAGGGCTGGTTTGGGGAGGGGATGTTGGTTCTCCTCCCACCTCCAGCCTCAGACTATAGCCCACTCACTCAGCCACTCGCCCATGACGTTGTTTCCCCCTCCCCCCTCCCAACTAGATTAGGCACCTGCAGTTGTCACCTACCAGGCACCATTCCTGCCAGGGTGGAGGTGGGGTAGCTTCCCTGGCCAGTGGGGGGCACATGAGGGGGATAACCAGGCAGAGTGGTGCTCGCCATGTCACGACCTGGAAAAACACAAAGGGGAAGGGGTAAGACCTGGAAGAGAGGGGCCAGCCTCTACTCGCACCAGGACTACTCGGTGAAAAGGGAATAGCGAGGCCCAGAACTGCTATGCGGGGCCAGGAGGGCCCCAGGAGCAGGTCCAGGTGTACGGGCATCCAAGCTTCTCACCTCAGTGCTCATGCCTGTGACCAGCAGTGTGTGTGCATTTCTGAGTGCCTCGCTCTGCGTGGTGTGTCTATGTCTGCCTGTGCTTATGTTTCTGCAAGCCCAACTCAGATGGAAACGGGAGGGAGATGCTTTCCTCCGTCTCTCCAAAGCGATTGCAATCAGCTTGCTTACTCTACCTGTCCTAGCAGCCCACCTTTCCTCCGGGCTTAGGGGACCCCACCCCCACCCCACTACCTCTGCAGGGGCTGATGGGAATCCCTTGTCCTTTCCAAGTGGAGCTGCAGGTGCTAGGCCTGGCAGGTGTGGAGAGCAGGGGGCCAGCCAGTGAGTTATTTTATTGTTAGTGCTTATGGCACTTACATGATAGAAAGCCATCCCTGAAGCAAACCAGGGGCTTGGAGCCAACAGTGCAAGTGGATCCGATCAAGTTCCAATGAACAAAATCTGCTGCCCCCACCGGCTGCTTGACTTCAGTCCCTCCAGGTCTCTATCAGCTAGAGGCTGGAGAGTGGGAGGCAGGGCTTTCCCTAGCAGTGTCTGGGAACAGAGTCCAATCAACTCAACGTCAGGGATACTGACTAGAGAGCCTCATGAACCACAGACATCGCTTGGAGTACAACTGCACCTGACTGCCTGACCCCTCCATCGACCCGAAGATTACCACCTGCCTCTGTAACTTAACATGCTCCGATCACTAATGACAAGAGTTTGGCTCTTTCCTCTGCCATACATTCATACCCTAGAGAGGACTTCTTCATCCACTTCTGGGTCCCCTTTATCCCCTTCAGGTCCTCCTTAGCCGCCTCTCTGTAGTCACCGCCACACTGCCACTCAAGCACCTCTGTCCACCCACTTCCATATTTTAGATCCTAGAATCTCAAAGAATGGCTGGAGGAAGCCAGGTTGTTACATACCAGGGAGCCCATTTAAAGGTTCAGCCACCCCATGTGACAGACTAGAACTCCCCCACAGGATTTTTCTTAGCTGTGATCTTTAAGGAAGTCAATCATCCGACCATTCACCTTTGGAGCCACTTGGTGGCCGTCTGCACTATACCTCAGTCCTTGTCTCCATCCTTCCCATCGCGGTTCCAAAATCTCTCCCCCTCTAGAAGATGACCTCACCGCCTCCTTTTCTGAAATGTGTGCTTCCTCGCCCTTATCTTCCTCTTCTTTTTATTGTGAGAGATTTTAGAGCATCTTGGTGGTTTCTTCAATAATTCATACATTTGGTTGTGTGTCATCGATCGCTGTCCCCACAATGCAACAGCACTCAGTTCACTTCCTCCCTGTGCTATTTCCGTTTGACCTCCTTTCCGATTCCTTTTCACCTTCCAAGCCTGATTCCAGCACCAATGCTGCCCCTTTGATCTCACATGGTGGACGGTTCTATCTCCCAGGTGTTCTTGTTCACCTTGGAGGTTGGAGCCCAGGGGATGAGTTCAGGTCCAGGAGTGAGAGGTGACTAAGGGCCACAGTCGAAGGGGGCTTCAGCAGTCTCTGTCAGAGCAGTCAATGTGCTCCTTCTGAGGATTTTTTATTTTGCTCTGTATTTCTCTCCTGCAGTGTCCAGAACCCCCTATTGTGATTCTTTTCAGCGTGGTCAGCAGTGGTGGCTGGGTGTCATCTCGTTCTTTGGATCTCCGGGCCATGGATCCTTGCCTGGACCTTAGCACATCTGTGTGATTCCTCTCTCCCTAAGTGTACCAGGCCACAGGTCAGGGTTTCGCCTTTCCAGTTGCCTGCTGACTATTTTCACTAGCTATTCCACTGTCATTTCAAATGTAGCAGGGATGAAAGCAGATGCCTCTCTCTTTTCCTCACCCCAATCTCTAGTCTACAGACTCTCTTGCAGCCCATCGGGCTGAACAATGGGGGTCTTTTCTGAAATCCCCTTTCTCTCCCTGCCCATGTGAAGGAAGGCAGTAGCCCTGGTAACACAGGGGTTAAAACAGTTGGCTGCTAACCAAAAGGAATGTGGTTTAAACCCACCAGCCACTCTGTGGGGGAAAGGTGTGGCAGTCTGCTTCTATAAAGACGTACAGCCTTGGAAACCCTCTGGGGCAGTTCTACCCTGTCTTAGACGGTCACTGTGAGTTAGAATTGACTTGCTAGTAATGGGTAAGTGAAGTCAGTCACCAAGTGTTACCAAGTCTCCGTGTTCGTGTCTGTTACATCTGTCAAGCCTCCATCATTCGTCTTCTAAGCATCTGCTTTTGGTCGGCCACAACAGGGTTGTCACTTGTATTCCCAATCTCCAGATTCTTCCACTTCCAGTCTATCGGGAGTGTGCCTGCTTGCCTCCTCCTCACGTGCATCGCACCGCCTCCTCTGGAAACACCAGCCTTGGTTCCGTAAAGCCTCGTTTGTATTTCAACACTGCCCAGCCTCCCCAACCTCCCAGGTACTCCACCTGCCTCGACGCTCTGGGCTCTCGTTCTCACCCCTCTCGGGTTGGTTGGCTGCTTTCGCTGGCTTATATGGCGTGGTTTTTACTTCCCTTGCTCAAAGTTCCTCTCGCCTCTAGTTAAACCCTTCATCTCCTACGATCCTACCCATCAGGGAGGTTTCTGTCTTCTGAACTTCTATAGCATCCGGGCCCCATGGTTAACCGCGTTATTACGTCCTATAGTGTTATCCGCGCTGTTGTCTCCTATGACTCCAACTGATTGTAAGGAACTTGAGGGAAGGGCTCCATCTTCTGCTTTCTCCCATATAGCTATGAGCACGGTAGATGCTCAGTAAACTCTTGCTCATTAATTCTATGCCATTCAATTGCATTTATAGCCATTCCATATGGCTTATATCGTTTTCTCATGGTTCCTATGTGTTGGTCTCCTTTAAAGAGATAAGGGTTGAGACAGCATGTAAATGTTCAAATCTGCCTTTTCTCTGAAAGCAGTTTTGACAGTGGTTTATGGTTTTGCATAAAGTGATGAAATATTTCGAGTGAGGGAGGCATATGATGTGACTCAGTTTATTATGCATCGCTAACATATCTCCTGGATACGTTACGTCTCCCGGAACCCTACAACACACGGCAGAGTTCCCCTCACTGTTATCTAGCTCATGCCAACCAATAGTGACCCTTTTGAGCAGAATAAGGTAGAACTGCATCTGTGAATTTCTGAGATTCTAATTCACTGGTTCCAGGAGTGGAAAGCCCCATTCTTTCTCCCAAGGAGCGGCTGATGGTTTTGAGCTGCTGATCTTGCAGTTAGCAGCTTAACCCGTAACAACTACACCACCAGGGCTCTGTCAACAACAGGGTAGAACTGTCAAATAAGAGATCACTGTGAATCCCGGGGGAAAGGAGAAAGTTCTTGAATTTACTTGATCATGGGTTTTATTTTCTTGATGTCAATAAAAGGAGTCCCTGGGGGTTGCAGATGGTGCACATGCTTGACTGCTGATGGAAAGGTTGAAGGTTGGGGGTTTGAGTCCACATAGGGAAACCTTGGGGAAAAGGCCTGGTAGTCTGCTTCAGAACAATTAGTCACTGAGAACCCCCCTGAGCACCGGTCTACTCTGACACACAGGGTTGCTCTAAGTGGTTCCCTGACAATTAATTTGTATTTGTTGTTGTTGCCAATAAAAGGTACACTCATTAGACCAACAGAGAAAGAAAGCGAGTCAAGACTAGAAGGGAGATATGAAAGGTGCGGCCAATGATCTTCTTGAACAACGGGCCTCCTTTGGCAGGAGACCAGAAGGACTGGATGGTGCCCGGCCACCATACCTGCGCATATTTTGATCAAAGATTTTATAAGAGACCTGATCAAAAGGGAGGAATTGCAGAACAAAATATTGAATTCTTCTCATAGACCCCAGACTTTCTGTGAGCCAGAGTTGGAAGAGCCCTTGAAACTATTGCCCTGGGATAATCTTTAAAAGCTTAACCACAAATATTCTCTGAAATCTCTTAAAAACAAACAAAAGTTTAGCTTAACTATTAAAAATAATTCTGCCAAGACCATTAGGCTCTTTAAAAACTATTTACATGGGATTAAATTGGCAAGAGCACCTGGAATGATGAGATAGAAACTTTGGGGGGGGGGGCAAGCGGGGCAGCACATTTATGCTAATGGTTCTTGAAGAATGAGCCAGAAAAGGAGATTGAGAATAGTCGCACAACTCAAAAGATGTAAGAAGCATCACGAAATTGTACACATAGAAAAGATTGAATTGGTGTCTGTTTCCCTGTGTGCGTTCTCAACAACTAAGTAAATGCTTACACAATCCCACTAATAACAAAAGGCACACTCATCCTGACTAGCTCTCAGTGGTTGGAGCCAAAGCAGACAATGATTAATTAAGAGACACTTACTTGTCCAGAAAGGCCTGGGACAGGAGACTTAGGGGATATTGAGAGGTCTTGAAGCCAGAAAGATACAGAAAACAATTTTTTCCCCAGCGCTATGACCCTAATATCGACACAGCAGCCAGAAAAAGAAATATGCTTCCTTGCTCATAAATAAACTTAAATGCATTCTGACATTTGCTGACCAGGCCCCCACAATCTTTCACACACGAACTCCTTGTAATCAAAGGTTTGGGGGCACAAACATGTCACTGGCTTCAGGAGAGAGGAGGAGAGGCTGGGGGACAGGAGAGGTGTTTCTGGAAACACCTGGGAGCCCCTTGCGATGCAATTTTTTTCCCACTTGGCCTTCTCTCTTGCAAAATAATGAGACCAACTTCCAGCACATCACATCTTCTACGTGCTGCAAGTCACCCATAGAACTGCTGATGTCAGGTCCCGGTTCCCAATACGCGTTTCAAAGTGGAATTTGCACAGCTGTGCCGCGTGCACATTTCGTAAATGTAAGAGAAAA